TAAAAAGTAAAATTTTGTAAGAACCGCAATAATTATCGAATTATTTTAATGACAGAAATTTGACGAGTGAACGCGCGGTAAGATGGATGATTGGAGGAGCACCGCAACCTCTCAGGGGATAGTGCGGCCCAATCGACTAAGCAGCTGTTGGCGGCGTGCAACGAGACGTAAGTGCGATGAGATAAAACATGAATAGCAGCGCGTTGTCCTTCCCCTCGCCGCGCATCCGGCAACAGTTGCTGGATTAATTGGGCTGCGCTCTGGTCCAAGCGGCTGCGACGCTCCTACAATCATCCATCTCAGCGCACGCTCATTCGTCAGATTTCTGTCATTAACAACTCGATAATTATTGCGATTTTTGCAAAATTGTACTTTACTTTTCTTTTCAGCTTGACCCAATCTACCTCTACACTTCAGATTGGCAGCTAATTACCGGATACCCTGTCAAATTTTATTTATAATTCTTGTGAATATCGAAAAACAATATGGGAACAATATATATGTTTGTCTTAATCTGCTCTATGTCTCCATGAATTTCTCGTACTGAGATATGGGACACCTGTACATATACCAGGTATGTAAATATGAAACCGAAATTTTTGTATAGAAAATACACGTTTATCGTATGAAAATGATAAAAAATATTTTATTCGAAGTACTGCCCATCGTTAGCTATACATTTTTCCCACCTGTCTGACAATTTGTGGATGCCACGCCAAAAAAACTGTTGCTCTTTTGAGGCAAACCAATCATCAAGCCATTTTCGTACATTTTCGTAAGAAGTGAAGCGCTGCTCAGCAAGTGCATGTCCCATTGATGCAAATAAGTAGTAATCGGACGGAGCCAAGTCTAGTGAGTAAGCCGCATGCGAAAGTATTTCCCAACTAAACGCCTCAATCGTTTCCTTGACCAGTTTTGCTGTGTGTGATGATGCATTATCATGAAGCAAAATTACTTTGTGTTGCCTTTTTTGATATTCTGGTCGTTTTCACGCAAAGCTTGATTCAAATCGATCATTTGTTGTCGGTAGCGTTCAGTATGAACGGTTACGCCAGGTTTTAGCAGCTCATAATAGATCACACTCTTCTGATCCCACCAAACACAGAACATCGTCTTCCGTCCATAGCGATTTGGCCTTGCAGTCAATGTCGATGGTTCGTCTGGAGTTACCCATAATATTTTACGCTTAGGATTCTCAAAATATATCCACTTTTCATCATCAGTCACAATTCGATGGAGAAATGACTTTCTTTTATATCTGGCGAGCAACATTTCGCAAGTGGTTTTTCGGTTTTCCTGCTGTCTTTCATTCAGTTCATGTGGAACCCATTTTCCCATCTTCTGGATCTTTCCAATGGCTTTCAAACATATGGAGATGGCTTCTCGTGTAACATTTAATTGATCCGCGAGTTGTTATTGCGTTTGAGCGTCATCCTCATCCAACAATGCTTGCTGTCTTCAAACTTTTTCGGTAGTCTTCCACGTTCTTCGTTTCTCACATCAAAATCGCCACGTTTGAATTTTTTAAACCACTGAAGGCACTGTGATTTACCAAGAGCATGCTCGCCGTAAGCTTCGACAAGCATTCGATGCGATTCTGCAGCAGTTTTCTCCAAATGGTAACAGAAAATCGATGCTGTCCGCAAATCGTAGCTTCCAGGCACAAAATTCGACATGTTCAACGCTATTACAAACTAGGCTGTTGTATGAAACTTGTATTGTTGTGAGTTGAAAATCTTTGTCAGATGTCAACAAATGGAAATGGCGCCAATGACGCGGTTTGGCGGTAACTATTGGGTTGGCAACTAAGTGATTGCGGATTTTGTCGACAGATGGATTTTACACTTTCTTTTGTTTCGTTAACGTGTTCAAAGTACCTAACTTATATTTTTTTCTTATTGTTTGGACTTCTACCTTTCATTTAGTACAAAAATTATATCGATTAGTTCTTTAGTTTTGTTTTTATCCCAATTTAAAAATGGAAGAGCAAGACGTACACTTCAGACATATTTTATTGTATTATTTCCGAAAAGGCAAGAACGCATCGCAAGCACACAAGAAGTTATGTGCCGTATATGGGAATGAAGCCTTGAAAGAAAGGCAGTGTCAAAATTGGTTTGCCAGATTTCGTTCTGGTGATTTTTCATTGAAAAATGCTCAACGATCTGGCCGTCCAGTTGAAGTCGATGAGACCCATATCAAGACCATTATCGATTCAGATCATCGTAGCACAACACGTGATATTGCAGAGAAACTCAATGTATCGCATACATGCGTTGAAAAAAATTTAAAAAAGCAAATTTACAATTTTGAATATTCATTCTCATTTAAAATCCGCAATCACTTAGTTGCCAACCCAATACATTGACAGATAGGGCTATCTATGGACCAATTCCGGTTTCATATTTACAGACCTGGTAATCATATTTGATTTTTTTCCAAAATTCTAGTAGTTTGAGTTTGAGACTAATTTTTAGTTTGAGGCTAATTTTTATCTTCAGTAAACCAATTCAATTTCGCGTGTATAAACCCAGAGATTATTAATTCTTTTTCTAAAAAAAATGTGTAGAATCTAAAATAAAGTACTTTGTAAATCGCGTGTTAATACTTTATTTTATAACTGTTGGCAGATTAAATGGATATATTTTATTTAAATTTAATAGAGATTAATTTAAGAATAACAAATACCTGTTATGTAAATCTTATTGAAGAGCAAAGAAGGCAATCCTTAAGTTCATTAATGAATCTGTTTTTTTAATTTTTTTGCAAGATAGTTAACAGATAGTTACCAGTAGATGTAATTAAAACAGATAACAAATATCTGAAGTATATTCTTGTATCGCTTTATAGTATATCTAATGCTCGTACCAAAGGTCCCATTATTTTAATTCGAATAAAATATAAAAGTATGTTTTGTATTGTTTATGCAATTTAATATTTACATTTATGCAAATTAGTAAGCGTTATCTCTGGTATGCTGCGTTCAGAAAACAGAGCTGCGTTCGAAAAGTACTCGAGGTAAAATAGTATTTAATTAACTGATCAGGAAGTACTAATTCAAAAAGACTAAGATTTTTTTATCATGATTAGTTAAGGGGTAAAACCACTCTAGGATTTTCAAAAAATCGAAATTTTTTTTTTTGCTTAAACGATACTTTAGGGTCATAAAAACAATATGCCATTTGATTTATAGTGGAAAACAAATGTTAAAAAGTTCAATTATCAATTTTGCCGCAGCGCCTCAGAGCGCACGCTGAGCACTTACGCGGCGCGCTGTGATTCATCGCTTTTGCACTACTTTTACCTTTCGAAATAATAAGTTAACATGTTACTTACAAAGCAAACGGTTCTTAGGGTTCCTCGAGAGGTCACCAGGATACGCTAATGTGATATAATAATGATATTTATTCTATATTTAAAATATTAGCTTACAAAGATCGGTCACAGCGGGGCCGTTACAGATCGTTGCTTTGGCACAAAAGGATTCTCGATCAAAAACTGTTATTATCACGACGGCTCGACGTGCTCTGTCTGACCTCCTCGCTTGTTTTCCCCGATAAATAGCGTCGATCAAGAAAGATTCGCTACAGCCGGGCCATCAGTGCCGTATCGAGGATCTAAGTCCCCATACTAATATTATAACAAACAAACTTATTATACTATACTACCCCTACTAATATTATAACAAACAAAATTATTATACTAATGTTATAACAAACGTGTATGTGTGACTCAGTACAGCTGACAAGCCACGCCGTGCACACACTTTGTTTTGCTTTTCCCGTTCATTTCTTTGTTTTATATACATGTATATTATATATTTCGTTGTGTTGAAGTGAATAACAAAAATAATATGAGTGATGAAACGCCAGTGTACAATGAAAAAAAGGCCGAAAAGGGGAAATGCAGCAATTTGAAAAGACCGAAAATTTCAAAGCGGCAACCGTTGAACCGGTACGAAATGGAGAAGCCTAACGTCGAGAATGTTGGCACATCGGCTAAAAAATTATCAGCAATCGATCCTGACGATTTTGAAGTAGACGAAGGTTTTGGTTACCGAATTTTGAACTTTCTAGCAGTGTTCTTCGTTATATCGCAAGCTGTGATGTGCAAAAAATGCAAATCTGTTGTGACATTCACCGAATCTGGAAAGCGCGGATTGGGGTTCAAAATTGTAATTTCATGTCAAAAATGCGACAAGATTTATATTCCTAGTTCTCCATTTATTGAAAAAGGATACGAAATTAATCGAAAAATTATTCTTGCTATGCGGCTGCTGGGCGTAGGATTGAATGGTATAATAAAATTTTGTGCGTTCATGGATCTCCCGCGGCCAATTTTCCAATCATTTTATGACCAGATTGTTCAAAAGATAGCTGTTGGAGCAGAGGCCGTTTGTCAGCTTAGTATAAAAAATGTAGCTCGAGAAGAGAAGGAAAAAAGTGACGAAAAAGTGACGAACACAAGTGGCATTACTGTATCTGGTGATCTGGTTCGTGGAGAAAACGCGGCTTTTCGTCACTTTTCGGATTCGTATCGCTTATTGGATGGTTTACTGGCAAAGTGGTCGATGTTTTAGTAAAATCCAAATATTGTAAGAGTTGTGAATATTGGAAGAAAAAATCAGATACAACGACGAGTACAAGGAATGGGCCGAAACTCACGAAGATAAATGCCAAGCGAACCACAAGGGATCCGCGGGAAAGATAGAAGTCGACGCCGTCATCGAAATGTTCCAGCGCTCAAAATTTTTGCATGAATTGAAATATGAAAATTACGTAGGAGACGGAGATTCAAAAACGTTTAAAGCCATCTTAGATTCACAGCCCTATGGAAATTTTACAATTAAGAAGAAAGAATGCATCGATCACGTGCAAAAGCGAATGGGTACTCGCCTTCGCAATTTAAAAAAAAGACAAAAGGCCTTGGAGGAAAAGGCAAGCTAACGGGCAAATTAATTGACGAGTTGTCAATTTATTATGGTCTAGCAATACATCGAAATCATCATTCTGTTGAAAAAATGCGTAATAAAATCTACGCGACGCTAGACCACAAATTGTCGACTGACGATGAACCGAAACACGACAAATGCCCGCGCGAAGAAAATTCATAGTGCTCATGGCAGAAGGCACAGGCTACTGGATCAGACCATACGCATAAACCATCTCTATCTCAAGAAGTTTACGAAGCGATTTCTCCAATTTATGGAGAACGAATTAAGCCGTGACGAACTGCTTTCTCGTTGCAACGGCGGCTTTACGCAAAATAGCAACGAGAGCTTCAACGCCACAGTCTGGTCAATGGCACCGAAATCGACTTCCAGCGGCAAACATATTCTTAACACGGCAGTTTATATTAGTGTAGGCATATATAATGACGGCCTATCAACTATCATGATGCTCATGCAGAATTTGGGTATGACAATTGGGCCGAACTGTTATAACTTCTGCGTGGAAACCGACGAGCGCCGCATCGACTTTTCCGAGAGGTCGCTTAGCGATGCCGCAAAAAAGGCCCGAATATCCTTAAAAGCATCTAGGAAAGAAGAGGAAGAGGCGAACATCGACCTGGATGGCCAAATGTATGGTGCAGGCATCGCAGATTAGAGGTAAACAAAAATTTCAAGGATTAAAGTGTTCATAAAACTTTAAACGCGTTTTTCTCGAAACCACTTTTTTCAAACTGGGAGGACGGATTTCTCGGAAACTATTGCATGGATCGATTTGAAATTTTTACAGTAGCTTCACAACAATATTCTCTTTGGAAGTACGTAGCCGTTTTTTGATTGAATGTAAACTCTTTTTTTTATAAACAATTTAATGCTCATTTTTAGGGCGAAAAATCGATTCATTTCTTAAAAAGTGCACCACTTCCACAAAAATTGATTAAAGAAAAAACCCCTACGTACTTCCAAAGCCAATTGTATATAGATTATAAATTTTTTTGAATTTTTGTTCCAGGACTCATACATGCCGAGAAATCCGTCCTCCCGTGGCGGTGTTTTCAAAAAAGCTGTTTTCGACGACGGGCTCTGTCACCGCCATTTTGTATAAAAATGACAAAAAAAATTTAAAAAAATTTTTTTCGTACTTCAATATGTGTAAAATAAACCCTCTGAAAAGAAATTCTATTCCGTTTGTCATACTCCCAAAATAAATTGTCAAATTTAGGTCTTTTTTCTGCCTCTAGAGTGGTTTTACCCCTTAATTGAATGCTACTCTATCTTTAGAGTATTGTTTCCGATAGCCTAGGGAGTCAATCATATTTTTTTCTCTAATCGTGAACTTATGAGAAGTAAAATATTTCATTGAACTTTATTAAATTCATCAATGAAATTTTCATTTTTCATAAGTTTATGCTGGAGGGAAATATTCATGATCCATCTCTAAGAACCATAAAGCTGGGACATACAGTCTGTAAAGTAAGAGCGTGCACGGCATAAATGGCAGTTGGCTTCAAATATCATCCTAGTTTTTTTGTGAGCCGATAGATGAAATCTTTGTCGTGAATGCTTTGTCACAAAAGATTCAATTGACGTCGAACTCTAACCTGAGAAACACGTTAACCGCCATAATACGCATCGCGCTACGAAGCTGTGTTCCTTTGTTCCCACCTCAAAGGACCAAAAATGTCATATGCAGTGGCTGCTAAATACATGGGAAAGTCAAAATCGTTCATCGCTAAGTGAGTTCAGCAATATAAGAAGATAAAAAATGTCGATGATTTGTCAGAACGTAGCTCGATAGGCAAAGTGACGCCGAATATGGAAAAAAAAATTGTGAATTTGTTTAAGCGGAACCCGACCTTAATGCTTAAAATTTATGAGAAGTGTTTGTTGCCGACTGCTGAATGATGCTCCATAAAAAAAAAACGAGGACTGGATCTTACAGGAAGACAACGACCCAAAACACCGGAGCAAGCTTTGCACCGAGTGGAAAGAGCAGTCTGGCATCGTCACACTTGATTGGCCATCGCAGTCGCCAGATGCAAATCCCATTGAAAATGTGTGAGCATATCTCAAGTACAAGCTTCGAAGAAAAAGAGTGTGCACTTTGAAGCAGCTGACACGACAAATTCGTCTCATTTGGAGGTCTTTACCGAACGAATACGCAGTCAACTTAGTGGAAAGTATGCTTCAAAGATGCCAGGCAATTATCAATGCCGGTGGTGACTGGACTCATTATTAATGGTATAGCATTTTTCTTCTTATGGAGTACAACAAATCCATGTACTTAAAACTCATTAAAAATAAATTTTTCTACACATTAACCCGTACACGCTCTTACTTTACAGACTGTATAAGGTGTAACCAAATTGAACAATCATAGGTGATAATCAATCATGATTGAAATTTGCCAAGTTGAGAATGCTTGACTATGATTGGTCATTTTGTTTACTGCTTCTGACTTATGTATAGACGTATGAAACTAACAAATACCTTTGAAATTACTAAAATTATTAAAAAAAGTAACGATTAGAGTAACGAATTAATTGTTACTGAAAAAATATAACTACGTTACTCCTCGTTACAATTACCAAAAAGAAAATAGCTATAACGGTAACAACGTTACAAATAACTCGTTATTTCGCAACTCTGTTTTTACTTTAGGATTGTTATATACATAAAAATAAAAAATTTTGTTTTTTCGCTGGTTTGAACAGAAGGATAATAATAACAAGAAAAGTAAGACGAAAATCGACTAAAATATTGAAACAAAATCGAATTGAATTAAGTTCGATCGATGTAGTATGCAAGATGAAAAGATACATTTGTACGTTTTTTCATTGTGAGTGTATCATTAATACGTGTAACAAACATTGTAGTCATGCGCGCTGTAGATAATAGACATGCGAAACACTGGTTGACCTTAGATTCTATAGAATAGGTCAAGGATAATGCAGTGTGCAAAATCCGCATATCTACACGTTTGTAAAAAAAAGCATGAGAAGTGAAAGTTGCAAATACCAGAGGGCAAAAACAGAGAAAGAGAAAATGGGAGAGACAGAGATAGATAGATAGATAGATACATAAACAGATAGAGAGAGAGAGAGAGAGAGAGAGAGAGAGAGAGAGAGAGAGAGAGAGAGAGAGAGAGAGAGAGAGAGAGAGAGAGAGAAAGAGAAAGAGAGAGAGAGAGAGAGAGACGCCTGCGCGATACAATCCATGGTTTATGCAATTAAAGTCAATGAATGTTTTCATCCGCTTTTCAATTGCGAATCTACCTATGACCGACAAAAGAAATCGCATATTTCGTAATATAAAAAAATGTTCCGTGTCCGATATGAGAAATCGTATTTCATCAAGTGTCGTAACTAAATGTAGACGAAGTCATTTCTCTTAACTTCGTCGTGCAATGTTTTCCATTTAATATTAAATTTTAATTGATATTAATGCGCGCAGAACGGTGGCCCATTTTCAAACGTATTAGCAGTTAAATTAGTAATCATCAGTCGGGTTCGGGAACAAGGTCGGAGCCGTGCTCCAGCTTTCGACGCATGACACATGGCGCAAGGCGACGTCAAATGACGCAACGAGTCCATGCGGACATGGCTTGATTATCGAGAGGAAAAGCAGCGCGTTTGACACGAAACATAATATAGGTCAAGGTCGAGTCGAGTAAAATTCGTTTTTGTTCGTCGCTTGAAGAAAAGGAAGAGAAATAAACGTAATAAAGAGACGCGAAATTATGTGTCCCAACTTAACGGCAGCGGAATCATTCGGGACAACGCGCGCACTTGGCGAATTTGCAAATCTCATATATTTGCAAAATATATAATATAAATCCCGCTGCTTAGGAAACCAGAAAAGTTTGGCAAATAGTTTTGCCGAGACAAAAACGTGATGTCAAGGCGGAATTATCGTCATATCTGCATGTCTTTCCTAGCCTTTAGTTCATTCGTTTCATAATACAGCCATATCAAATTAATTTACTGCCAACTAACGTGATATTTTTTGTTAAAACATATTAATCTAAATTTTTGTAATGTGAAACTAAACAAGATCGTTGCTTGTTTGAGCTCGTTAGTATCTTGGAATTTTATTTGAAGTTTATATCCACATAGATGTTTCGATACCTCATAAATTTTGTCGCTAATTTACAATCTATTGAATTTTATAGTGAAATGGAATTACTCGAAATAATCATAATTAATTTCACTAGCTTTTTATAGTCAAAATCAATAATATATAACTACTTATTTTAACTGCAAATATTTTATATTTACTGTTTAAATTGAATGTGCATGTCGTCATCTTTCTTGAACTTCGTCAAGTCTCGTAAGATTATCCTTTCAATCTTTCATGGAATTTCATATTTCTGACGTGATTCGTATTATTCAAGAAAACTATGATAGTATTGTAATTTACAGCGATCATTACGTTAAAAGAATTAAGGGAAGATTCTCGTGTAACAGACCGAAAAAATCGATTTTTTTACATAAAGTAATAGTAACACACTTGAAAAATATGTCTCAGAAGTTATAAATCGAAATTTGAAATATCAGGTGTAGTAAAAAGAAATCCATTATTTTTCTAATAGATGGCTTTAATTATCTGTATCTCGCGTTGTATAAGTCCGATCGGGTTCCACTGGATGGCGTTAGAAAGATGAGATTTCGTACTAAAAAAACTTTTCTGACAGTTTTGTGATTAGTTGACTCAGTTTTGTTTGAGCGCGCGTCAAAGATGGACACTAGCAAAGAGAAAATACGCTATAGTTTACAGTTTTTCTTCAATAAAGGCGAAAACGCAAGCTAGGCGGCTGAAAATGTGAATAGTGTTTATGGTCCTGATACTGTAACAGCCAATCACGCGCAATTTTGGTTTCGTCGATTCCGTTCCGGTAATTTCGATGTCAAAGATGCACCACGCACTGGAAGGCCAATTGTCGAAAATATCGATAAAATCATGGACATTGTCGAATCCGACCGTCATGTAAGCACTGTTTCGATTGCCCAAGAGCTAAAGATTGCACAAAAAACCGTTTGGAACCATTTGAATAAGGCTGGATACAAAAAGAAGCTCGATGTATGGGTGCCACACGAGTTAACGCAAAAAAACCTCATGGACCGAATTTCCATCTGCGAATCGCTGCTGAATCGCAACAAAATCTACCCATTTCTGAAGCGGTTGGTCACTGGTGATGAAAAGTGGATCACTTACGACAACGTCAAGCGAAAACGATCGTGGTCGAATCGCGGTGAGCCGGCGGAAACGGTGGCCAAGCCAGGATTGACGGCCAGGAAGGTTTTGCTGTGTGTTTGGTGGGATTGGCAGGGAATTATCTACTATAAGCTGCTCCCCTACGGCAAAACTCTTAACTCGGAACTGTACTGTCAACAATTGGACCGTCTGAAGGAAGCAATCGCCCAGAAGCGGCTAGCTTTGGCCAATAGAAGAGGAATTGTGTTCCATCAGGACAACGTCAGGCCACACACATCGATAGTGACTCGCCAGAAGCTCCGGGAGCTTGGTTGGGAGGTTTTTATGCATCCACCTTATAGTCCGGACCTGGCACCAAGTGATTACCATCTGTGCCTGTCCATGGCGAACAATTTTGCTGGTGAAAAATTCGCTTCAAGAGAGGCTTGTGAAAATCGACTGTCTCAATTTTTTGCCAATAGGGACGAGGGCTTCTATGAGAGAGGCATAATGAAATTACCTTCAAAATGGCAACAAGTTATCGAACAAAACGGCGCATATTTGACCTAAATCGGATCATTCTAACTATGGTAATTAAAGCCTTCAATTTCATGCAAAAATAATGGATTTCTTTTTACTACACCTAATATTAAAAGGACTATGGCAGATTTTATAGCTGCATGTCATGCAGGCAGCACGCGGTATTTAATCCATCCCTTCATTTAATCCGCTATATAAATAGTCTTCGGGCATGAGTCTTTTAGATTATGGTTTTAGAATATGGTTTTTAGATGGCTTTTATAATAGAATATGGTTATATATTTTAACTTGCCAAAAACTGTTTCCTTGCATGAAAAAGAATGTTGAGGAAAAATCGTTAATATGTTGGTACAAAAAATGTAACATTTTAATATCTTACAAAAATATAATGAAATCAAAATATTGCGCCAATTAATAATGCAAAAGTATGTTGTATAAAACATAACAAACGATATAGCAAAAACAAAACTAATATAGAATAAA